TATTTAAGGACCCTAATCTCAGAAGCACACCCCATTTGGAGCTCAAGGTAAACGTTCCTAGTGTTTGGAGTAGTATTCATGTATATCATGAAAGTTAACTTTAATCAGATACGGATAATGATTTCATATAAAAACGCACGTGATTAGTAATCAGCTCTAGGAGGTTTTAAGTTGAGCGTATGATATAGGATTAATGATGCTCTTCAGACGTATGTACTTAATACGAATTTTTTCCCAAACCCATGGTATTCATGTAACTCCATTAGGCAGGAAATGGCATTCTCCAACAATCTGTCATGTTTGGAAGACTCTCAGTGCGACTAACATTTACTGCATCTGGAGTAGTTCACGTAATGACATTCTGTTAGTACAAGATCTATTGGAGCAAAATGTTGCCTCAATCATTCTATTTATCTGTAATTTGAGAAGTCAATAATTTCACTTCTGTGAGTACTTCTCCCAAGACAAAGCCATCAGTAAAGCTTAGCATTTTGAAGGATGCAATCGCAATGATGACAAGATGTATTGAACTTGTCCTGTTCACATGCTGTAGGGGTGATGAACAGCATTCGCTCTAAATAATGGTTAGTAAATATGAATGATTTAAGACAAATTTTCGGATGACCAAAACTGGAACTTGCTTCTAGTTACAACAATTCTGGATGACAATTTGCTCATAGTAACTACGGGCGAGGAGGCAGCAGAGGAACATTATTGCCACTGGGTTGTGTCATTAAGAAAGGGGCGCGAGTCTGATTTCTAACCAAAATATCTTTTCGATCAATCAGTGGTGTCGATCTGTCTTTCGTGATACCATACTCGGACACTTGCGTGCCCTATCACTATAAATCTCCTTGAGTGGCAGAAGGAAATCAACAGGATCTTTCCCATGGTAAAAGCATAAGTTCCAAGGCGCGTCAAACTAAATACATCAATATGGTGGGCAATTGGAAGAAATTCTACTTTACCCCAGGGATCATTAAGTCTGTTTTCAGTATCTCTTTGAGTATATCCGTGAGGGGAGTTATATTTTTAATTTACAAAACGTAATGTTCAAATGCAGGAAAGTCAAAAGCAGTTTGGAGTGATATATATATCCCAGTAATTTACTATCTTCCAGCTATAGTCTTTATTCGAATTTCTTTATTCGACAATCCAGTGACGCGATAGCGTAATTACTGATTTTGATAAAGCGACACCCAATGTTTGTATTTTTGAAGTGCGCTTGATGGTGACGATTGCTTCTTTGGGATTTATCAGTAAAGAAAAATGTTCAAGAAATATGTTGGCTTTTCAGCACAGTGGGCGTTGTTGAGGTAAAGTACAATGGTTGAGAGTAAAGAAAAACATTCAAGAAATAGGTTGGCTTTGCAGCAGAGTGGGCTTGTTGAGGTAAAGTACAATGGTTGAGAGTAAAGAAAAACGTCCATGAGACATGTTCGCTTTGCAGCACAGTGGGGCTTGTTGAGGTAAAGTACAATTGCTGAGAGTAAAGAAAAACGTCCATGAGACATGTTCGCTTTGCAGCACAGTGGGGCTTGTTGAGTTAAAGTTCAATGGTTGAGAGTAAAGAAAAACGTTCATGAGACATGTTCGCCTTGCAGTACAGTGGGGGTTGTTGAGACGTTGAGGTAAAGTACAATTGGCAACGCACTTAATCCCTCATAATGTGTATTGACTCTGTATGTCCTTGTGTTGAAATGAAAGTTTGTAAAACGCAATTTGCCCAAAGAATGAATCTGTTGAAACACATAAACATTGATAATGAACAACATGCCAGTGCATTAACGATGATTATCATGTTGTGGACGTCTATTATGGCGCTGCCATCAGCACTAACTATGACTACTATCCCGGCCGTCGTGAAATTCTGTATCAACCAAGCCCACATGTTGACTGATTGTATTTGTCAGTAGAGGTTAGCCCTGTCTATCTCACCGTACATATTGGACCCAGAGGGACCTGGCTTTCCAAGATAACGTATTTAACTGCGCATCGTCGGATGTAACTAGAATGGATTATTATTTATTTCGGCTGACTATGTATACACCGAACCGTGGACATTAGTAATGAAGGAATATAGATTGTGTGGAACATGAATAGAAATGCCGTTCTTCGGATCAATTAAAGCGGAGGTTAAAGTGTTGAATACACGTAATAGAAGAACACAGTTACGCCATATTTAGTCAATACGGAATCGCATTATCGAACATTTGTTTTTTTCAAGGTTCTCGAAGGTCTTCATGGTCCCTGATTGGGTTGCTGGTGATCCCTGGACTGTTTCTTGTATATTGTGTCGTTAAATGGTAGTTTGATTTTCTTACACGCTCTTAAACTAGATTTAGTTTTAGATAAAATCTGTGATAGTCTAGTTATTGTACTTTAATATGCTGACGTGATTTTAGACAGCCCAAATATTTTGTTGTCATTTCAAATTTCATTCACTCACTTTCAAGGTTCATGATTTTAACAACCCAAGTCGTGGTAATTAAAACACACGAGATGTATGGGCTGTTTCACAATGCATTATCACACACATGGTGAGCTTTGCATGACTGAGCGCTCCCGTCACTATGTGGCCGTCATAGTGCCGATGTGGTGATAAATGTTTACTCACCCACTAACTTAGAACTGAGAGCTGGTTACATTCATAAACATTTAAACAAAAGTTGGATTTATCATGTTGTTTAGCTTTGGTTTAAAAAATGAGGGAATGAATTTAACGTGTGATGCCATCTACATTTGCCTGAAAGAATGTTTCGAATTTGTGGTGGTGTTCTAATAAACGTTGCATGTTTTATCTTTTGGCCAGCGTATTTCTTCCAAAGATGACAGTGCAGAATTCAAGGAATTAAAACATATACTGGACAGATGAATTATTAATTTACCACCTTTGAGAGGGCGAATGTGGAATGCGCAACTGAAGGCATTGATACCATATCCCTAGGCACATAATTGTTACACAATAAATGAGGACTTAAAATGCACATTATTTAAAAAACATGACTACTAGCCTAACGTTTTGCGCATATTCATATTCGAGCAAGAATTACTTCAAGAATGTACACACTAATATTGTACTTATACTAGCGAGTACAAATTGAGATAAGTGATTGCTTTACTTTTGACATTGTTGGTATATAAGAGACGACAAACCATGTGTTTGACTACACGAGATGCCTAAGCAAACTGATAAGGTCTTTATCTATCCCTGGAAGGAATCTTACAACCAATTATTTGTTCCAAGTATTGATATTCAGATGACAAAGACTCGCGATTCCAAGATACAACATGCTCTCCGACTAATTAGCCGTATATAAACATGACATTTAGGATAGTTTTCCACTGCTAGGAAGGTGCATGTTCTTTAAATATTTAGTCAGTAATCTCACAAGGATGTGGTAGGATGTAACAACGTATTAGGTGAGTTGTCATGCCAACTACAAGTAATTGCTTCTAAAAATACCCCCAAAAGTTATGGTACCGGTGTGAAGATCAATGGCAGTATTTCTAGTGCCTAAGTGTTCAATACATAAACGTTGAAATAACTCATACAATTAATATGCAATGTACATGTAAAAGAGATTTCCAACTTCATAATCAAATTTTAGAATTAAATCCTAAGGAAGTCTTCAGCTGATGTTTTCATTTCCTGCATTCTAAAGTTTTATCACCCGCATGCCATGAATATAAATTACAATAGCTGTTCCATTCCCTGGAGAAAGCATTTTGTCTCCATCAAGTACATTGATTATTGGCTCTTAGCATAGAATACAGTGAAGTGATTTGCTGTATGGAGTTATCGGTTCGTTGAAAAGGAGACGTTCAGCTCAGAGAAGATTTGGGTACTGGTACATATAATCCTTAGTCCTGAGTGAAGGAGGAGGGATTTTTCGCCGTTTTCAGCAATATTCCAGCAATATCACAGCACATATCTGCTTATATCATCGGTGGTCACAATTATTGTGAAAATATAGGAGTATGTTATACTGTTTGTTTTTACAGAAGAAGAATATCTTCAGAGGGACTCGTATTTCTTCTAGATTAGGATACTTTGGCATTGGACACATAGGAAAGATAAAGTAAATAGCACCGACAAAATCATTTCCATAATAATTAGAAATATGCCATATCATTGTTGTGTTACCAGCTGTTACCATGGTAATGTATTAGCCGCAGGTTTGCTGAAGCAGTTGTTTCGTTTACAATATTACCGGTGGAACTCATTGAGGTACAGTTTAGGGGCATAGACATGAAAAGCATGATCAATTTGCGTTTAAGATGTTGTACTAAACGAACCTGTATCGCTTACCAGCTTTCTGTATCCACTTGATACAGCGGATATGTAAAGAGGATTGGAGTAGGGACTTAGTTTCGTGTTGACTAATACCCAGGGTTCAGTCAGTACCCACCCGGTGTTTCTTAAACATTGGATGATAGCACTTGATGCAGCAGTGGCGGAGAAATGTTGTTATATTGTAACTGGAAAGTCTCCCCAACCACGTCATATTTATACACATACTAGTGATTGAATGAGTATGGGTTTACGTCGCTTTAAGGAATGTCACGGCGGGGGGACACCAGAAATGGGCTTCACACATTGTAAACATGTGGGGAATCGAACCCGGGTCCTTGGTGTGACGAGCGGACGCTTTAACCACTAGGCTACCCTACCGCCCCGATGTGTTCAGAAAGCAATATAGATATTTCTGGAAAAGCGCCCCTATACAGATATAAGTAGTAAAGATAGATTTTATTTGGACTTGTAGATAGCTAGAACGTAGCGCATTACAGCATGTTCTCTTGGCACCGGGGGAAAACACACCACACCTACCCCCCTCCAACAACAACAACAACAACAACAACAAATAGCACACATACCAAAAACACCAAAAACCAACACACGCGTGTACCAATACCACCTATCATCACATCTGACTTAATATAACATTCCATTTGCTGATTCTTGGTTTTGTGTACAAAACGTCTGTTTGTTGCAGGTTTTGGTCTGTTGGAAAGCGGCTCAGTCTCCAGCAAGAACGAGGTGAACATCATGGTAAAGAACGCCGTGGATGTAATCTGCGGGGACTCACATACTGGATGTTTGGTTATGGACTGAGTTTTGGTGAAGATGAACGCGGTGCTACCCCTTTCAATGGCTGGGGGGACTTTTTTGTCACGGCAGATGAAGAAAGTTTAGGATACGTGTATTCAAAGTTCTTTTTCCAGGCGTCGTTTGCCACGACCGCTACTACTATCGTTTCAGGTAACCGACATTTATGCTACCTAATTTGTTTGTTTACTTGTTCTTTAACGTTGCACGGTAAATAATGGAACTTGGACCAATCCAGTGATTGATATCATGAGCATCGATGACGCAATCGGGATACGATGACATTTGTGAAGCAATACAGTGAGTCTGACAATCCCTTTAGTCGCCCCTTACGACGAGCAGGGGTTGCTGAAGACCAATTCTAACCCGGATCTTCACGGGTGGCATGTGACATAAACATGCCGGATGTACAGTTATGTAAGACTGTAATGTCTGTATGCACATAGGTTATGGAGAAGAGAAGCGTTGACGGTGGAACATACGTTCAGATGTACAGTCATCTTCACGAAGCAAGAATGTATATAGACACTTCTATAGACATTCAACCTTGCCATGTTAAGTCTACATTTCGTGCTAAAACAAAGACGCTCTGTACGGATTATCCAACATGCATCAGGTGATAGCGCTAAAATGTGTCCATCAGTTAAGTGAAGATAAATATTTTGGAAGCATTAAATAGTTTTCAATCAATGTGCCAAAGTACTGAATGTCTTTTAAATATTTCTGCGCAAACTTCATTGATTTATATTTTGAACGGGTGAACATTTTGTGGCAGCCGTTGAGATGCAACACTAGTTTTAACCTATACTGAGGGTTTCAAGTCAACGAGGTGGTGAGTTTATATTGAAACTGCGAAATAAACACCATCAGTGCCAATGATGGTCTCTCATTGTGTTTGTATGTCATACATTGTGTTTGTATGTCTTATTGTGTTTGTATGGAATCTTTAAGTCACCTGATCGACCAAGTCGTCTTTTATAATATACGTCAGTGAATCCCTTAAAATAAACACATCGATCTAATTGGATACATTACAAGGGATCCCTATTTGATCTGAGAGGAGTATAACCCGTTGTCTTACAAAGACAACTATTTATCTAAGGAAAAAAACGCAAGTGTGCTAATATCTTTGAATGAAAACAAGAAATACAACTTACAGTTATTACAAAATGTCATAGTGCGCTTGTCTAGACATATCCATAATGTTTGCTGTTCACCTCATCATAGATTTTGTATCATATGATGACAATCCGGGTAAAAGCGGTTATACTAATCAGTGCGTCTTGAAGTCGGCAAATAAAGCTAGTATATTACCAGCACATGCCGAAAAATAAACCACAGGAATAAACTTGCACATGTAGTACTAGAGTTTAAAATTCGAGGTGCTGAAAGCTCGACTTTGAGAATGTTCGACTGACTGACTGACGGAGTATGGTTTTACGCTGTTTTTAGCAATATTCCAGCAATATCACGGCGGGGGACACCAGAAATGGGCTTCACAAATTAAGAATGTTCGAGTCCCTACATGGTACAATGAGTGACGTTTTAATTTTGTTCCTTAAAGTGGCGTGAAACCGATCTCTAACTCTTAACGATTGTCTATTTCTTGGTGAAAACATAGTCATACCCTATATACATTGACGTACGTTGTTCCAGATATGAACGTTTCACTGGTTATTCCATGGTGTCTGATCTGAAACCTTGTTACCTTTTTTTACCATCCATAGGGTCAATATGAATGCTAGGGTTACATAAATGATATCAATTCATGGTTGTGTTTAAGGGATGGCACAGTAAACAGCTGGCACAGAAAATGAGTCCAAATAATACTCAGTTTTACACACACACACACACACACACACACACACACACACACACACACACACACACACACACACACACACACACACACACACACACACACACACACACACACACACACACACACACACACACACACACACACACACACACACACACACACACACAAGTATTGTGACCACTAAGAAAAGAGTGATTCATCACTTCAGAATTTAACCTACATTTTGCAGTGGTAATGTTGTATTATAGATACATCTGAAGAGTTATCTCTGTCTATTTGGTCAGATTCCAAAAGATTCGACATTTTTCTCACGAGTATACAGCTTCACCTGTAAATAATTACTACATTTATATGGAGCAGTATTTCACACAGACTACGATTATAACTTCAATAATGCGATAATTCAACGATACAAATGATTGCAATCTCTAAATGTGACATGATTATACTTACATATTTATTGCTCAAAAACATGACAACTTTTTTCTATGATATATGATAAACTATTTTGAGTTCAGTTGGTATACATCCTATGTTTGATTGTCATTCCAGATGTATATGATAAACTATTTTGAATTTTAGTTGGTATACATCCTATGTTTGATTGTCATTCCAGATGTATATGATAAACTATTTTGAGTTCAGTTGGTATACATCCTATGTTTGATTGTCATTCCAGATGTTTATGATAAACTATTTTGAGTTCAGTTGGTATACATCCTATGTTTGATTGTCATTCCAGATGTATATGATAAACTATTTTGAGTTCAGTTGGTATACATCCTATGTATGATTGTCATTCCAGATGTTTATGATAAACTATTTTGAGTTCAGTCCAGATGTATATATGATAAACTAATTGAGTTCAGTTGGGTATACATCCTATGTTTGATTGTCATTCCAGATGTATATGATAAACTAATTGAGTTCAGTTGGTATACATCCTATGTTTGATTGTCATTCCAGATGTTTATGATAAACTATTTTTGGTTCAGCCGGTGTATATACTATGTTTGATTGTCATTCCAGATGTATATGATAAACTATTTTGACTTCAGCTGGTATACATCCTATGTTTGATTGTTATTCCAGGTGCGATGGCGGAGAGGACAAAACTAGAGGCATACATCATATTTTCATTACTGAATACATTCGTGTACTGTTTCCCCGCCCACTGGTTCTGGGGTAAACAGGGATGGTTACAGACTATGGGTGTGATTGACATCGCTGGAGCAGGACCAGTTCATTTAGTAGGAGGGGTCACAGGCTTGGTGTCAACTCTTCTTCTCAAGCCTCGTCACAATCGCTTCAAGAGTAAGAAAGCCCCTCAAATGGGATCTCCTACGAATGCAATGCTCGGAATGTTTATGCTTTGGTAAGTTCTATATAAATAGGATTTCAAGGTATATAACTCAGCATACTTAACTCCAGGTTTAAATATATCTACAAATGGTCTGAAAGGTTAGGCGACTCGATCATGATCAGAATGTAAATGCATGCAGGACAATGTGCAACATCGAATCAGTAACTGACATGTAAACCGTGGTACACAAGCACTCTCTCACATATGTGTAACGGCATAATTGATATAACTATGTGTGTGTGTGAATATACCCAAGTGCAGTACGTTAACACTGTACGGATGTTGGTGTTTAAGGTGGGGTTGGCTTGGATTTAACTGTGGCAGCACGTTTGGAATATCCGGGTCGAAGTGGAAGTTGGCAGCCAGGTATTGTACAATTAAGAGAAGAACGGGAAACGGCAGATATATTTTGAAAAAAAGAATACATGCATCGTGGCCTTAAAGTAATAGTGCTGTGACTGGTGTCATATTACCTTCTCTGTAGTAAGTCATTCGTTTGAAGTGGAAGTTGGGTTTCAGGTACATAAACATAACACGTTAAACGTATAAAGTATATGTGAGGAAAATAGAATGATTTTCTTGTGGAGTTCAAAAAGCGTGTTTGTAATACCTTCTCATCTGCTCTGGAGTTTTTGAAAGATACTTTTCGCTTAAAGTGACATTTTCTCAGCCAGGCATTGTACTTTATCCCGCATGTTTAAATCTTTAATGCATACATTTATCTGAAGACGACTACTTCGTACAGTCATATTGGAGCAATTCGTAGCTTTGACAGGATCCACTGAACATTTGTTCGAGTATAATCGTTTTGTGAACATGTACACGAGCGTAAAGTGTCTGTTACAATTTCACTTACGCAAGGTGTGTTTGACTCTTGTGTTGAGTGCTAAATTCAAAAGCTTGAACTCAAAATAAAATATTCAGGCAGTAACGGTCCCAAGTGCAATTGTCGCTACCATCTGTGTATCTTGTGATACTCAAATCTAGGTAATGACGTTCGCGAGATTGAACTATAGAGGATCAGTCAAGGGTTGAAAATACATGCTTTTAGAACATTGTTATGGGATGAATCTTAGCACACGGGGACGTTTTCGTCAATTGAAGTGTAATCATTATTAGAATAGACTGCAACCACATACCTTCAGGACAGAACCTTTATTGGACATACGGTGCACGGTATGTAGAACACAATATCCTTCAATAAGAGAGTGTTGCAATAACTATTAATGGATAGGCCTTTTGATCATTAACACTAATTGATAATAAGAGGAGACGGTTATCAATAGCAAAGCTGTGGTTCCGGTATATCGCCAGGACCAGAACTAGATTCAGAACCAAGCATGGAATAGTAATAGCTTCCACATCAATTAATTCGTTAAAATTATTGTAAAAATAATGAGAGTGTATGCTGCAATTGTATTGGTTGAAAAACTTGATTAAATGGAAGTTGAAACCCTAAAAACACTTATTTACACCAAAAGCTTCCTACTTAACGTCAACATATCAGAAAAAATGACGCATATTCTGTGTGTGTACATTATCCTAACCAGACGATTCAGTTAGAAACGCAAGCACGCCATTTAAATATCCTCTTGTGTACCGTGATGTCATAACATCCAAGGATGACGCCATGTCTCTTTCACAGCTGTGAGAATTTATGTCTAGAGAGAGTATGCATCAGACAGTGTCTTTTGATAACTTCTTGTTATTTCATTCCATGTACATGTGAGATCTGCAAATATTAAAATACCAGGTATATCTCTAGATGTAGTGCCACTGAAGCAGGGAAATTCTTTTCTAAAGTCTATATAGACCATATAGTCATACCACCTCACCTAGATCATTCTGTACTTGGAATGCCCTTTTGGTATCACAAACATAGAATCACAGGTTCCAGTATTTGGCTGCTTTAGTACCGTGCTTGGAACTTTGTCAAAGTAAACTCGCTGCTAAGAGTCAACAGAAACAGTGCATAAAGGAAATCGAAAGAAAAGAGCAGTTTAACTGCATCATAATATAAGAGTGTTGGTAGTTCCTTATTACCTGCACTAAAGTTGTTGAACGCATACTCTTGTTCACGAACCACCATGTGAACATACCTATAAAGACGCAATTTCCATGTCCTGTATTATAGAAACTTTGCATACAAAGGGACAATGGACAAATGGACAATGGACAAATTCATCACAACATACAATTTTAAGGTTTGTCATGCTTACAACAGAAAAATGCCCCGAGATAAAAGATAATGAATTTAACAAAACGGTTATCATGTTGAAATTTCAAACATGAAGGAAACCTATGTCAAATTCATTGATTTGTGTATTGAAAACAAATACGACATTAGTGGAAGTGACGGCTTCTGTGAGTACTGTACAGTTAAGGAATACCCAATGTTATTTACAAAACGGTCAGATCTCACATACGGTATATATGGTATTGAACTATATGTATAGTTGATGTTTGAATAAGAATATTGTGTATTCCACGCCGATGTTAAATCTGTTTTATTTCCAGATCAGCAGTTTCGACTATATGTGCGTCAACATCTGGAGGGATTGTTGGCCTCACCCTGAGGTAATTGTCCTATCATCTGTTTCAAACCGTTTCATCACTATCAGTTGTAATCCTACTTAAATAACGAGAAAATTGAGTGGTCGAAGCTGTTAGCTTCAGATAAGACCATTATGTGACTGTTTCTGGTTAGTCGGTGAGATATAAATTACAGTCAGTTATCAAGTGGATGCTTACCAAACTATTTTTATTGATTAAGGAAAAGTGAATGGACTTGACATTCAATTAAAAGATTCGCTCGAATTGTTGAACCACTACAGGGGTTCTATCTGATAGATCCAGTGATCGTCAAACAAATCAAGGGTTGCATGAGGTCAGGTCGGTTTGATGTGCTAAAGATAACGACATAATTGTCGTTGCATGTATCTTAAACTCAGCTCCGTTAGATTGCCTTGGCATCGGATGCCATCGAACAACGGACACATTGCACGTTTATCTGGACTCCCACGGTGCATTGTTTTGCTTACCATTTACCAACAAAGGTCCCTAGCTAAAATTGCATTATTTGTTACGCTATACTACTTTCTGTCACCGGTATATCCCATACCGTGTAGTTCACAAAACACTTAAATGTAGTTTTGAGTAAATATGATGAAAACTAGATACAGCGAGCAGATTTAGGCATAAACACACTTTAAGTTTTGAGTGACGACTGAGATTATTATCTCTTCGGTGTAGATATGCTTTGCTCAAACATGATTGATGGAATACATTCATTCTCATTTTGTTATATGCATTGTGAGAGACACATGGGTATAGGACGGGCGATATGAATCGATAAACGTTAAGTGAAATACTGCAACGTATACAGTGATTTATTGTAGGTGGAGCTGTTGCGTAAATATTACAGCTACATCCAAAACTGTATTGAGTTTCCATCAAGGGGACGTACATTCGTGAGAAATTTCCCATCTTTTCGACTCTTTTCCTTAGATGTATCCACAATACAAGAAAACCACTGCAAATTGTACGATAAACTGTAAAGAGTATGCATCACTCTGTTCTCAGTGATTTTAGACTTACTTACGAATTTCGAAATGCCTATTTGTGTTTGTTTTTTTGTTTTTTTGTTTTGTGTGTTGTGTGTGTGTGTGTGTGTGCGCGCGCGCGCTAATAAAAATAGGACCTTATTGAAGAACTGGAGACCAATTACTTTATTAAATGCTCTGTATAAATTAATAAGTGCATGTATCTCAAATCGGTTAAAAACTACCCTGATTCCCTGATACATAATAGCCGGACTGGATTTATGCCTGGCAGAACATTATGTGAAAATACAAGGTTATTATATGATATTATGTTTGAAACTAAGAAAAGAGACATGTCCGGTTTACTAATTTTGACTGATTTCGAAAAAGCATTTGACACAGTTTCCAAAGATTTTATCAATTCTGTCCTAGTAAAATTTGGTTTTGGTCCAAAGATTATACGTTGGATTAAACTTATGACACATGTTCATGCAAGGGAATCCCATGTCTCCGTATCTATTTCTTTTTGTTGCTGAAATCCTAGGATGTATGATAAGACAACATGAAACTATAAAGGGTATTGTAATGGATGATCAGAAATACAAATTAGGTCAATATGCAGATGACACTGAATTATTTTTGGATGGCTCAGATGAAAACTTGTATTCTGCTACAGACACATTTAATACATTTCACAATATGTCAGGACTAAAAATAAACATAGATAAGACTAAAGCAATCTGGATTGGCTCAAAAGCTTTGACAAGATGTGAATATAGAATGGCAAAAAAACCAATTTGAAGTATTAGGAATTAAACTTACTTCGGATTTGAATAATTTCTGGGTTATTAAGACAAAGAAAAGACTGGAAGAAGGTAAATAGATTACTGGCAACTTGGAGAAAAAGACATTTGACTTTGATAGGCAAAGTTACTGTTTTTAAGACATTGGCTCTTTCAAAATTAGTTCATATTTTTAACACTGTACCTAACCCTCCTGAGGATTTTATCCCCGCGCTTGAGAGAATATTTTTTAAAATTCATCCGGAATGACAAAAATGACAAAATCATACGGAGCAAAAAAGTATTACGGGGGGTCTACGCATGATTGATATTAAGACCTTTGTTAACACCATGAAATTATCTACACTCAAACTATATTTAATAAACAAACAAATCCCGGTAACCCATGCAACTTTCCTTTTAAGTATATGCTAAAATATGGAGCAAATGTTCAGAATATAGTTGCAGTTGATAATCCTTTCTGTAAAGATGTCTAAAAGGCATGGAAATCATATTGCATCAAAATTACTATGGAAGCAGAGAACATTAATGAAATTGTATCCCAACCTAGATGGCTGAATAATAATTTCAAAAACTCAGATTACATTATTAGACACTGGGCTAAAAGTGGAATCTTGACAATCAAAGATCTTTGTGATGAACATGGGTTTTTATCCTTTGATCATTTCAAGCTTACATTTGATATAAGAGGTACACACTTAGATCTTGGATATGTTATATATATTTTGGAAAAAGACTATAAAGGAATATGGATATATAATCATCAATGATCTCGATATAAATTCTCTCCAAAAGGATTTCATATCCTCAAGAAAAGATTCAAGATTATTCTATGATAAATTGTTATCTGAAAATGTTAAACCTAATATGTGCCCAAAATGGGATACATTATTTGATTGTATTGACTTTGATTGGCATAAGGGTTTTGATATTTGCAGAAAGAATTTAAGAGATGTCAATCTGTTAGATTTTCAATATAGATTCTGCACGGAATTGTTCATACCAAAAAATAACTTTCTATAATGAATCTTGTTGACAATACAATATGTTCTCTTAGTTAAGTTTCTGGTGAGACCTTATGCCATGTATATTGGGAATGTGATGAAACAAAAACTTTCTGGAAGAAACTTGAACAGTGGATTACGAAAAGTATCCAAGCACTTAATTTGACAAAAACTTTGATATGGTTTGGCTTTTTAGGTAAGAACTCATTACTGAATCATATAATATTATCTGCTTAGAGGTATATTTACACTTGCTCTTTGAAAAAACAATCCCAAAAGTTGATAATTACTTAAGGATATTGAAAGACATATTCACCACTGAAAAATTCATTTCCAGAAGAAATAATGATGTCAAAAGCTTTTTAGCCAAATGGTTTCCTCTCATCCCAGAATTTAATCCTGAATGACTATTTAACCCAAACTTATTACTGATATTGATATTTAATGTACTATATCTCATATGAGCCCACAAGCTTTTTTGTACACATATTCCTCTATATGCATGTATTCAACGTATTGGGAACAATAAGAAAGAAGAAGAAGTTGCCATCCATATACTCGGCTTATATATTCACCAACTTCTAAATGCCTCTCGAGAATCCCCAAACGATCATGGACGAGCGTATGTGCTGTTGCTTCAGCATTTACAAACTCCGATAAAATAAAACGTTTGTTATGTATAATATAGAAATGGTGAATGATTTGAATTTTCCTTCTGTTTCACCTTCACTGGAGTTATTGTTCTAGAAATATCTTCTTTCAATGATCGGATCACTAACATTGCCCGAAAACAAAATTGATGTCAGCTGACTTAACGAAACACGTGAATTCGACGCACATATCCATTTCCCTCGTGCCTCGTCTTATACATATAGACGTTTTTCAAACCTATTGGAAATCGCCTCTCGTATCTCTGAATGGTTGATTACGTGCCAGTAATTGGTTGTCATTAAACCCTCGTGGGATATCTTAGAAACGGATTGTAGCCAGTTTCCAGTTTAAGTAATCTCATGGCCAATAACTAAGACAGTTTTAAGGAATTATTAACTGTGTTCTAACTGGTCGCTGTGAAGCCAGATCAGGTAGCATTTCACAATTATGTCGAAAACTTCTCTAATGAAATGCATCTGGAGAATCTCGTGTGTGTACGCGTGCGCGAATGTTGGTGTGTGGAGGCGTATTTGGGGTGATGTTAGCATGTGTGTATGTGTGTAGGGATGGTGGCTTTGTTAATTTGTTGTGTGGATGCTAGATGCAAAATATATATTTATCATCCAAAACTGTGTTTTCCACAGGAGATATTGTTTGTGCGAGATCAAACGATATCTCCTAGGAGATATCATTTTGACAGTAGATTTTGTACAAGGCTCTGACAAAGCTATGACGTCATAAACGTGATGACGTCACAATGCTATGACATGGCTGCACTGCAAGTCTAATGGTAGTACCGTGTTCAGAGATGTACATTTTTCATTGAAAGCTAATGAAGAGTGATTTTTTATGATAAATAGAATCTCACCCTCGTGATATCAATTATATCAACATTCGTTGATAAAAGTAAAAATATCCTCGGCAAGCCTCGGATATTTGTAACTCGTGTTGATATAATTGATATCAGTAGACACTTGGGTGAGATTTCTCTTTACACAGTGATAACAGACTTACACACATATTGTTCAGCACACTGATGTTTGAGTTTCAGCTACATTCTGAAGAAGCGTCAGTTTGATGTGGGTTATCTGATCAACAGCATCCTTGGGTCTCTTGTTGCTATAACCGGTGAGTCTTATGCCAGAGACTGATACAGGTCAAATAACACAAAGCTACCGTCGTACATAGACATTTCCATTAACTACAGTTTGGATATAGGAACCACGTATAAAGGAACAAGTAGGCGGAACAAGTAGCCTTGCTCCAAGGCTGTACTGAATTTTTAGCCCATGGTGTATAGTAATTCTATCCTTTAAAGAGGTAAGTCTAGATAAGTGACGGACACTCGTCTGTTAGAAGAATATGTACATATTATATAAATTAGATATGCATATCTTTTATAAATTAAAAATCATTTAAACTATGAATTATTACTTAGACATTTGTGCAAGTCTAGCGGATATATACTAAATCGTGTTCTCTCGATCCTTGTCCAACATGGCTTATTAAAAACAACCCACAGGCCGTCATGCCAGCTATTACATCCATAGTGAACCAGTCACTAAGTCAATGCCAGGTATCATCGTCACTGAAGGAAGCACTAATAACACCTCTTTTAAAGAAGCCAACATTGGAACCAAATGTCTTTAAGAACTATCGCTCAGTTTCAAATTTACCATTCATTTCCAAATTGATAGAGGGTGTTGTAGCAAACCAACTGAAACAACACCTCCTGGACAACAATCTTGGTGATATCATGCAGTCAGCATACAAAATAGGTCACAGCACAGAAACAGCTTTGCTGCGTGTGCAGAATGACCTTCTGCATGGTGTTGATTCCAGGGGAGCGGCAATTCTTGTCCTCTTGGATCTTCCAGCGGCATTTGACACAATAGACCATTCCACTCTCTTGGAAACTCCACAGTTACGTCTTTGAGTCACTGGTGATGCGTTATCATGGTTTCAATCGTTTCAAACAATCAGTTATCATCTTTGGGGTAAGGTCTGAAAGCAGAGAATTAAGGTTTGGAGTGCCACAAGGCTCAGTCCTAGGCCCAATCCTGTTCACTGTATATACCATACCCGTTGGTGATATAGCCCGAGCCCACAATTTCAGCTACCATCTCTATGCTGATGACATTCAGCTATATCTCGGATTCAAGCCACAAACTGCATCTTCTGTACAGAATACCCTGCAGGCAATAACAAATTGCATAGCTGAGATCAAATGTTGGATGAACAGTAATTTTCTGAAATTGAACGATGACAAAACTGAGATTCTCATCATCAGCTCCAAACCGACAAAATCAAAGTTCAAGTTCCCTGGAGTTCAAATTGGAGACACGTTTGTTCAACCAGAAAGCCATGCTCGAAATCTAGGTGTCATCTTTGACTCAACATTAAGAATGGAAAGTCACGTCAGTAACATAAGCAAATCTGCATATTTCCACCTAAGGAACATCAGACAGTTTAGCAGGTACATGGACACACCAGCAGTAAAATGCCTAACCCATGCATTTGTGACATCACGTCTAGACTACTGCAACAGTCTACTCTATGGAATACAGCAGAAGTACATGGACAAGTTACAGCGTGTTCAAAACACAGCTGCCAGGCTCATAACACGCACACATATCTATGTGCACATAACGCCAGTCCTGAAGCACTTTGTGTTTATTTATCCTTTCGTCTTACGCTTTAGCATTTTATGACTTTTTCTCTGCAATTGTACTTTTGTAGTACAATAATGTCTAAATATTATAATGTAAGGGTTTGTTTCAACTGCGTAGGACCCTCCCACGGGATGCTCCAAACGTTTATTTTATGAAAGTGGTAAACCAATGTATATATTAGCACCATTACGCTTGTCAACGGACCACTGTACATCCCACTGCCTTCTCATCTCTCTGGGAAATATACACCATCACGGTATCCGTGAGTGGCCGTTGGGAAAAACGGGCTGCTGAGTCTCGGAAGCTCAAAGGCGCACTACGGACGCTTCTACGTTTCCTCCCGGCCTGTTCAAGGTTTGACACGTTTTGTGTGTTCTGTCAAGACTTTCTACGGATGAAACGTGGCCGCCGGCCAGCTTTGAGGCACGTTTGTGCCCACGGTATAAAAATAAGGCCTCCCAAGCAATAGCAGCCATTACGTCTCGAGACACAAGAGCAGCATGAACCCCCAAGATGAAGATTTTGTGTTTGTATGTTTGCCGGGGACATACATCGAGTCCTTGTGACAGCAAGAAGGCCAGCATCAGCTGCAGAGAGACAATGCCAGAGAACAGTAGGCAGGAAGAAGGCCAAGATATATGTGGGTGCGCAAATGGTTATCGGAAGGGAGAAGGCAGCACCTGGGCCACTACCAAACATTTCTCACCAGAGAGGTCCGAACCGAAAATGGATTGAAACTGTCAGTGACTCTGAGACATCATGACTGCCGTGGCAAAGTTTGAAACAGTTTAAAAATTGGCACGGCACCCGCGGCAATCACGGACTGTCACGTTTGCTCATTCAGTCCTCCCACGTTGTCTCATGGCCATCCCTTTTTGTCCCCGTTTCACTACGTTTCGCCGGAACGGGGCTGCCGTGGCCGCAGGGAACATAGTGTAACCCTAGCATAAGAGTTCGGGGACCAATTTAGAAACCAGAACCATGTTATCATACCTGCACAGAGAATAATTATATTTAAAATAATAAAGATAATATTAATGATAAATGATGATCTATCATCAAAAGGTATACAACTTGTAGGTCTTTTAACACGAATGCAATTGTACATTTCAGCCACATGTGCAATAGCCCACCCATGGGAAGGCTTGTTGATCGGAATAGTTGGGGCATGTCTTACAATACTTGGTATTACAGTCCTGGAGAAACTCAAGATTGATGACCCCGTTGGTAAGTGTCTACGAAAACACATCATATATCGACACCGGTGATTTAGTTAATTTCCATGGCTGTACATCACTATCCATACTTCTATTTCACTGCGGGGCGATGAGGTAGCCCAGTGGTTAAGCGTTCGCTCGTCACGCCGAAGACCCGGGTTCGATGCCCCACATGGGCACAATGTGTGAAGCCAATTTCTGGTGTCCCCCGCCGTGATATGGTTGGAATATTGCTAAAAGCGGCGTAAAACCCAACTCACTCACTCACTCACTCTATTTCACTGCCCCAACAACTGATGGTTTCGGTTAACAGGGATGCCATCGTTCAATTCGTTTACACCCACATCCTGTTTATTTGTCTAAATGCATTGACTGACTCTTAATGTATTTAATATAATTCCAAATGCGGTGTTGATAGTACGTTCAACTGTGAATGGCACGTTGTACTATTTATTTAGGTATTGTTTTCAGTGTCGTATCGTTAACTGCTCATTCTCAAGTCTCTGTCAGATTCTGCCTTGGTTAGCAAGAAATAATTGTCAAAATTCTAGACTTTTATGTACACGTAGCATAGTCGTCCTGCACAGGAAGAAAGACATATGTCCCTACGCACGAATTTTCTTGAGGAAAATGGGCAATATTGAACAGTCGACAAGCCATGCGAGGTGATCTGATGCCTGTCTTGCAGGTTGTGTAGGCGTCCATGCTGTAGGCGGTACGTGGAGCTTGCTTGCAGCAGGGTTTGTGTCGAGGAAGGACACATTTGCAAGTGAACTTCAACTTAACAACGTGCAGAATGGTGTCCTCAGTGTAAGGTTGATTGTATTACGTTGTTATTAGTTAATGCCTAACGACAACACCACTTGTCTGGTAAACAAGGTCACATTCATTGACATGCATCTGATAAATAGTTTAAACAACACTTGTAAGTGCCCTTTGGTAAATTATCGATCTTGCTTTTGGTGGTATTATAATTGGGAATAGAAGTATATGTTAACTGTTTCAGTACAAACACTCCGTTTTTCTGTTGAATAAGAAACTAACTGATTGTAGGTACTGAAAACAGTGCTGAATGCGTGGTCTTCGTGGTAACGGTTGTGTTTCATTAATTCAGGCAGGTAACTCACATGTGGATATCTGCAAGTTTATTATGTAGGCATATTTACTGACCCTAACTGAATTATCAGCCAGTGCCATTTGGGTGAACCACGGGGCATGTCGATGATACTGAATCCATATAATTACCTTTATCAACATTTGTTATCAACACACACCAATCGTGACGAAAAGCAGCAAAGAGGGGCACTGATTTGTACTCATGCTTGAAATGTAGCTTGCCAATGAAATGAAAAATCTACATCCTGCGGGCGTGGATAATTGGCAGCTTGATAAAGAATCATCTTCGTGCTATTATGCATGTAGAAAGTAATGCATGCCAAATTGAAAGTACACAGATTAACCATTTAAATGCGCATAGATTTAATGTTATTCAAATATATAATTTGTGGGAGTAAATAGACTTTTTATCTCATTTGTTTACAGGGAGGAGGATTTCACCAGCTCGGTATTCAAACTCTTGCAATAGTCGTTTTGATCGCATGGTCTTTTGTGACATCATATATATTCCTGAAACTGATTGACGTAGTTATTGGTCTTCGAGTTCCTCTGTGTGAAGAGATACTAGGGGCTGACTTGATTGAACACGGGATAGGACAGGGAACGTATAACAAGAAAACCAAGAAGGTTGTGTTTGATGACGAGGAGGACTTCCTTGTTGGACAGTCTAGTGGACATCACACTCATAGTTTTGGGAAACATACAGACACATGCTATAAAAAATACCAACCACATTACCAGATGCCCAAGAGACGCTTTCTCAAAAGGTTCCACTTTTACATGAAAGGTCGTTTCTGGAAGACTCATAAACTAGATCCAGATGACAAACCCAACGACAAAGGGCACGCCTTCTCTAGTGACGCCGATATTGTCCCCAGAGCCATTGGGAGCAAGTATGATGGTTTCCTGTATGAAGACTTTGGATTTTCGGAAAGTAAAATGAACGGCAGATTTCAATACAATACGCCTAGACATGGCCCCGATTTGAACTGTTACAGCATGTGGATCGACGGGCCTAGGGGAACACAGAGGGACAAGAAGACGGAAGGCACAGCACAGTCACTTCATTCGGACCTTGCTGTTCGTCCTAAAATGCCTGAAATGACGTACATCTGAGATGCCATACCTACCCTGTACTTGTGCTCGATATTTGGAGTGAATGAGTGAGTTTAGTTTTACGCCGCACTGAGCAATATTCCAGCTATATGTCGGCGGTCTGTAAATAATCGAGTCTGGACCAGACAATCCAGTGATCTCGACATTTGTAACGTGGGTCCGTCCGACTACAAAATATACAATCTCTTCTGTTAACATCCCTTTAGTTTTTGAGTATGTACGTAGGCCAGTCAAAACAGTGATCATAACGATATTCGGTCTCACTTATAGTGCTGTACTCATAATGGTGTGATGATGATATTAGGATATCTTGTACATAATAATTATATAAGGTCCATTATGAGTAGAGTACGAATAAAATCATCGAAAATATAATTTTGTTTCACAAACACAATTACAGTACTCATTTATTTATGTTGCCTGAGAAATAATGGGCTAAGTAATTGACCAACGTTCATAAAAACTATATTGCAAGCGAAATGTTTACAGCTTTGTGAATTGAAACCTATACTAGTAGATGCCACTATTGATCCAAATAATATATAAGCTCTTTATTGGGAAATATTGATACACATGTATTTAGAATATTACTGTGGATAAACTTTAGACTGATGCAAATATCCAAGAATCCATTCTATGTAGGTCTCCAAGCTAAGCCTTAGTAGTACCGTTCAGTAGTGGATGACTGATTATGAAGTATGTTCAGTAGCTTTGCTCCAAGGTTGTACTGAATGCTTTGCCAATGAATGTATGGAAATCCATCCTTTTAAGTTTTGACAAGCGGACATCATCATAAGGACGCCAGTCTTTTATATCTATAACCTGTTCTTTTTATTTATATAATGCACAAACTGTCATTTAAAGTGATAATTGTTACTGAAGGGACTTGTGCAAGTCTAAATGTTCAGTTACCGCCGATCCCAGCAAAGCTGGCAATGGAATTTTGTTTTCTGTGTCTCTATACAGACTCGGTATCCAGCAAGACCAGTCGCTGTCAGAACAGTTCGGTTCAATTTGAGAAACTGACCAACGAAAATATGTTAGTTTGTTTTGTTTGTTCGTAACACGCTTTGCATCTAGAAAAAAATATTATGATTGTTTCAAAACGATAGCTATCTATTCCTCATCCATATGCATTTAAAAGTGCATTGTATTACTAAATAACATATGTTTAAAAGATACTAGATAAGAAGAAAATATTGCATATGATATATTATGCATGACATGCACGGCCTTTTACACTCTGATAAAATGATTTTAACTGTGTCGTATATTCAATTACAACGTTATCTATGAAACGTGTTGCAGCTGTTACAAACATCCTGGCATCTGTTCTTTGTGAATGTGGCCCAGTCATTTGCTTGTGCAGCTGTTACCCTATTCTTTCTTCCAACCATTACAAGCGTGAAAATACACACTGATTGACTTCAACAGTCGGTTCAATATAGGTTGATGATATGGCCATCACAATTACCAAAAAATGATTTTAAAAAACCCATTTTGTTTTCATCCTCAATACAGAAATATATGAAGCGCATTTAATCCCACACATTATCCCACAAATAGACACATGCACGCACGCACATAAACGTTGTATGAAAGGTAAGCACTTCCTTATAACAGTCCCGCTGGTGAGTCTAGACAGAAAAGATCCCTAGTGGCCGAGTAATGGAAGATTACAATCAACCCCAATCACATTAGCAGGGTTTGTATGCTGAAACCCGATAAAGGCAGTTCAGATATGTCATATCTCCAAATTTTCTCAGGAGTGTCTATTAGAAGGCAACAGAGTTGTTGTCTTCACAAACTGGAGATGACACTCTATTTTTTACTGAATAAGTTGAATATACTACGTTTCAGATATTTCACAACAAGAGTTGATGTGTCATGTCTGTTATAATTACATGCAAATTAACTATACGAGGATGTTTATTGTAGAAAACAGGATACATCGTGATTGAGTTTCCGTTTAAGTTGATGTCAATAGATTCACATTTTCTTTAATACAGATTTGGGACTACCATACCTTCTACATTGCGTTTTTTTGTGTGGTCACATAATGTTTACTAATTTATGCATGGACTGTTTCGCATTATTTGTAAACAAGTTTGTTCATATATGATGTGTTGGTGTATTTATATAAAAAACAAGCACACCAACAATTGTCGCTTTGAATTCTTGTAGATATTAACAACATCGTCACAACCAGAGATGTATCCATGCATAAAACTAGAAGATGATATTTTGAATAAAAAATCCATATGCATAATTAATGAATAATAATATGATGATATATTCCCTCTGTCTGGTTTTAGTAGGTTGTTTATTCTCAGAAATGTACATATGCATATATGAGAATATATATGGAAAGTTGTTATAGCGTCATGGCAAATCATGTGTTAATTTCCATCAACAGCGATTAAAATGATTACCCATCTCTTGCTGTATTTGTATATATGGTGTAATACATCACCATCTTCAACTTCATCTGATTATCAAACTTAAATATCACGATATACATTCACCACATCTGACCCAGGTCATATGGAATACATTCATAACATCAAACCTAAATTTCCCACGAAACATTAATAACTCCCCTAGATTAAATATTGACAGCAGCCAAGAGAAAGTGATAGCTAAATATGTAGATATACCGTACTTCACAGAAACATCAAAGGTTTATGCATTTATTTTGTGTAAACTCTTTGTCCAGTAATACAAAGAACTGAGCGGTGCTACTACTTATTATTCATGTTATTCAACTAATAACTATTTAACTGTGCACGAGGGAATGATCACACACTCCACGAGGTCACGGCACACAAGAAGAGTTTGTTGCAAAACATGCCCAAAGTGACGTTTCTATCTACAGCATATGCTCTGAACTCCATTCGGAAGTGTCAACGATTTGCTGACGATAGTTGACCATCTCGTCACACTCAGTTGGTGTTCCAGCTAAATGACGCGCAGTACCTGTTCAGCCTCAGTTGGCAATGCCGGGCCGAGTTGTGAAATCACACCCCAGTCCAAAGACTGCCAGTTATTAATTGTTAAAATGTCATGCAAATCTCAGCCTTCCCATGAAAACATATCAATTAAGCCGGCAATGACGTTCGTGATAGGCGGCTCAATCTGAATCCCTGTAGCTTTTACTTAAGGTCAATACGACATTCGGGTAAAATAAATGAAAACAATTAGAAGAATCTGTGTTGCCTGTACCATTTTTCGAACAAAATCAGCTCAGTTTTATTCATTGTTCGCAACAGCATCATTACACATTATACTGAAAAATGTAATTATTGTATATAATATGTAAGTTACTATACATACTTGTCTTAAATATTATTTATCATAATTGTGTATGTGAGTGAGTGAGTTTAGTTTTACATCGCACTCAGCAATATTCCAGCTATATGGCGGCGGTCTGTAAATAATCGAGTCTGGACAAGACAATCCAGTGATCAACAGCATGAGCATCGATCTGTGCAATTGGGAACCGATGACATGTGTCAACCAAGCCAGCGAGCCTGACCACCCGATCCCGTTAGGCGCCTCTTACGACAAGCATGGGTTACTGAAGATCAATTAGAGCCCGGGCCTTCACGGGTCAATTCCGTATGTAAGTAAATATGTGAGTGAGTGAGTGAGTGAGTGAGTGACTTTATATATACTTTGACACGTCGTTCTGGCGAGAAAACACGACAATGGCTCTTCAATACGTATGTTAAATCTAAGGTTTACTGCAGTGAGATGTTAATAATAGTGATAAATGTCGTTAAAACGAGCGCATTTCTGGTGTAAACGAATAATATCAGCAACATTTGTTTGTCACACAAAATATATTGTAGCTGCCGCAGGATGATGAAGTATAGTGTCTTTATTGATTTATTACAAGTAGTGAGTTGAATATCAAGACTGACTTGCTGTGTGAGACATGAATACGCTTGATATGTCCACATTAAACTGAGGCCTTATTGAATAGTCATATTCATGGTAACATATAATGTGCATGAAAGGTGTGGTGTTTCTACCATTTTTGAAAACAAACTGATCTTTTAAAACTAATTTCAAACCGGGTGACCTGTCTAATGTAGTTTAAAGCGTTGATAATTATCCAACGTTTAAAGACGTGTATGTACACATGTGGCTGCTTGTATTAGTCGGTTCTAACGCAGATTTTAAATATTAGATCAATAAGATATCACTCAGCTGTTTAACAGGGATACGCCCACGGTATACTGATACTAAACCGTCCACTTCTTGTTTTGTCTCCTTAATGCAGAGCACCGGTCAGGGTAAGAATGAATACTTTCTAGTCCCGGGTTTTAGGCATGATACCGCCAGGGTATCCAACCACCGACTACTTGTTCTCAGGGCGGACATAAGACCAATCCGATGAGCAATTGAGACGTAACAGAACACGTTGCATTAAACAATGGTTTAGTATATCTTCAACACCACGATAACATCAACATGTTTCCATCATATTTATCTTAATCACATTGAAGACAACAATAGGCTGTATGAGAGTTTCTCATAAAACGTTGCCACTTTCTGATAGAAATTTGTAATTTTTCTATATGCTTTTGAGGAAAGGTGAGATTATTATATGTCATAATGTCTGTTTTAACTTCATGTTGTTCAGCATCTTTCACATTTTTAAGAATGTAAGAATTTTTCAAGAATTTCAAAATGTTCACATACATACATTTCACAGCCATATAGTTGGTGTAATCATGCCATGGAAAGCTGAAAACAAGCCGTTCTTCAAGTAGTCAGCAATTTTCGATTCATGTGGAGCTTGATAACCAACTTAACTATTCCCACTTGCGATTACTAAGTGAAAAGAGTATGGATAGTAAGGATATACCCCGAAACGTTGTGTTCGTAGATGACATCCATAAATCTATCTTCCTTATAGAAAGCAAAATTGTAATAAAGAGTAAGCAAGATGAAAAGTGTAGCAGGGCATCCCACAGATGACATCCTTACCTTTTCAGCTTGTTGACGGGGTTAACCTCTTTGGTTGTGTGGACAAGGTGTCCGACTTCGGATCAGAAGGTCAGTGGTTCGAATCAGAGCACGGGACTCGGAAATGTTATGGCCGCTACAATATCAGGTCCGATACGCCAGTCTACACAACACATGGATAAAAGATAGTTCATTTGACGTGCTGGGTCGTCTAGATGCTTCTTTTAATCAGACGCCAATCCAAAATGTGTACCTGTTCGTAACATACGCAGTTATGCCTTGGACATGTTTTGCACGACTCCACCTAAATTATCGCTTAGTCTCTGAGTCTGTCAATATAATTTGCAGAGAAACAAACAACCTAATTAATATGAAAACTTTGCTGATACTAGGGATTCAGCCATCAGAATTCATTTATTTAAGCCCATGTCATTACAGTAAGGACTGGGCGGTAAGGAAAAATAAGGGAATGTTTCAGGGACTGTGACACAAAGCTACACCTATTCAGGACGCCAATAAACAAGAAGATAAGGGCTCATGGGCAAATACAGTGAAATTAGTCAGTACACACTAAAATGGGTATGTCCTTCTACAACTCCGAAAACGGAAGTTTGATAAATATGCTTTCTTACAAAGTGTAAACCTATATGCATTTTGGTCAACTTGCAAAGGTATGCTTTTTTGGAAACTTGGAATCTCCCAAAGTATATATACGCCAAAAAATAATAGCAATTGTCGATTTACATTGCGCATTTTCATGCTCAATGTCATGTTCAAAGCGCAGACCGGGGAGAAAGTTCATTGGAAAGCTTGATGAAAAGGATAGGGCTTGAGTTCTGAAGGTGGAATACGTGTGGAAAGTATTGAGATAATTTCTCAAATAAAACTGTTCAAACAAAACAAGCAAGCAGCCATGCTATACTATTTAGTTTCTATATACGGCAGAAGATGTGAAGATGTTGTACATTGTGAGTAGTGCGTCGCTGCCGTGTATAAGTATTCCCAGCCAGATCTGACACTGACTACACTCTTTGATTTATGATGGTTACCAAACCTTTTGAATAAGTCAAAAATAAATTCTAAGTGCATACAATAGTTGCATTTGTATATAGCTCAAAACGTTCCTTCATTACTAGGTACATCATAAACACATGCAGGTACCATCACTTTCATTTTCAAAGAAATACATTTCTTAATTATAAGTAATTATGGACGACAAATATAGTAGATATGTCATACTCCTCGAAAAATCTAAAGAGTCGAATTTGCTAAAGTTCATAAAATATGTACAAGTATGCTTGAGAAATGTGTTACTATCTAATGTAAGCAGTGCTGTGGAAGTAGCTATATTAAGATGCTCCTGGGGGTGAAAAGTGTTCTCTCATCTTCTATACAGCTTACACTAATCGAACATTTTGAAAGGTGTTTAAGACTATATAAGGGAGATGAGTTACATCCAGACCAGACTTGGGATGAAGATCACACTTTCACTCTGGATAGCCAGCCTAGGTCTGTGTCAGAAGACTGGTCACTGTTGCTGCTAGGTATATAATATCATCGCAGGCATTTTTATTATTATTACTGCTAGTTGCGTGGATATATGCGCTATATAAATATCCTATAATATAATATCATATTTTGCATACTGCCATTGCCATTGTACTATCACGGCATTGTGTACTGCCATTGTATTTACTTGCAGTTGCTTGATTTGTAAACCTATTTTATTTTATAACACATT